GTGTGTGTGTGTGTGTGTGTGTGTGTGTGTGTGTGTCTACATATACTTGTGTGTATATATACAAAATTATGTTTGTGGTATAAGTCCATGAGGAACGTTTAGTTTGTTATCATAACTCCTAACAATGCTTTTATCATATTTTTCTCTAATATAAATGTGGAGTGAAGAGCATGATGTAATACAGATTCTCTGTGGAGAATGGTATTAATGAGCATATGACATAGACTTTATTCCTATGAAAGCCAATGGGCAGAGACACTGACGCCACCAGAATCTAAGCAGTGCTTTCACCAGATGCCATCCAGTCGATTCCAACTCATAGTGACCCCAATTCATGGGGACACGTGTGTCAGGAGAACTGTGCCCTAGTGGGTTTTTAGCAGCTGGCTGTTTCAAAGTAGAACACCAAGTCTTCTGAGTTGCCTCTTGAAAGAGTTGAACCTCCCACCATGTGTCCCACCCAGGGAATCTTCCTAAGCAGTAACTGCATTGTTGTTGTCAGGCTCCTCTGACTTGATTTCACCTCGTGATGACCCCATTTGAGAGAACTACTACCCCCTGGGGTTTTTTATACAATCATCTGAACCAGAACACATAGTCAGGGCTGTCTCCCTGGAGGTAATCAGTGGGTTTGAACCACCACCCTTTCAGTTAACCAGTAGAGTGCTTAATGTGCTGTGAAGGCTCTTGGCAATAGTTTAAACCCATTGCTATCCATAAGTCTTTTTGGACTCATAGTGCCCCCCCCTGTAGGTCAGGGCAGAACTGCCCAAAAAGGTTTCCCCAGCTGTAAACTTCCGGAAGCAGGCAGCATTATCTTTCTCCCACAGAGCAGCTGGTGGGTGCAAACTGCCAACCCTTTGATTAGCACTCAAGCTCTTACCCACTACACCACCAAGCAGCAGTACTTTAGTCAGCCCTCTGTTGACAGAATCCCAGGTGGTGGTTTTCTTTGCTTTCTTTTATTGATGTCTTAACTCTTAATGCTAAGGCCTTCAAAGCAGAAATGCCAACTTGATCCATTTTAGTTGCATCTATTTAAAGTTCTTCATGGAGCAAAAAAAAATATATATATATATATACATATATATATATACATACACATACACATATATATGTATGTTTTCATTAAAAACATGTTCAACAAATGTGTAAGTGTGCTTTACACAATTGATGTATGTATGGATTGTGATGAATTGTATGAGCCCCAATAAAATGATTAAAAAAATACAAAACAAAAAAAACATGTTGACCTGACTTCTTCAAAGTATGTAAAAGTTTTATCTTAGAATTCATGATGAATCTTACAGTATTGTGGTCAGAGGTGTGGATTTCTTAGGTTGTCAAATAACAATAATATTTCCTTTTTCTACGCCCAAAATTTCAGCCATAATCTAAAATACATAAAGAAAATTCTATATCGTGTATTAAAGCTGGTGGCATAGTGGTGACCCATTTGGCTACTAACTGCAAGGTCAGCAGTTCAAAACCACCAGCCACTCTAAGGGAGAGAAAGGTGATGCTTTATTCTCCTGCCGTCAATTACAGTTTTGAAAATCCACAGAGACAGTACTTGCCCTGTCTTATAGGGTCCCTATGAGTTGGCATTGACACTGTGGCAGTGAATTGAGGTTGAAATCTTATTAGGGTCTAAAAAATGGCCATTAGGAAACTTATGAGGACACTTGAAATTATAGGCTTAATGTACCTTGTGATATATGAGCTTCAAATGACTGCAACGTACTTATTTGGAGGAGAAAAAAGCCCTTTTGTGTTTATACATTTCAACCCACTCTTTAAAAATACATTTAATCTTTTCACCCAGCTTGCATTTCTGATGGAAGAGTTTATAATGCATCAGTAAGTTTAATTTGCTGTGGTGTTTTCTTTTAAGAATAACAAAGTGAAACTTGTCAATTTCACAGATATTTCAAAGCAGCACATCAAAAATTTAGGCCATCATAAAATTGGTTGCCTGTTACCCTTTTATTAATAGGTGCAGTGCACAAATACTCAGTGGTACATGTGCCTTAAAAATTTTAGGTTGATTTTCAAAAAGTTTTATATCTACTTCTTCTGTCAGTATGTGAAATTGATGTTAGTTTTTGTAAAGGTTTGTCTTGAGACATAAACTACAGGAAATCTAACTGCTGCTCCTCTGTTTTAAAATGACCCTGTTGCTATCAAGTGGCTTCTCCGTATTGAGCATTTGTGCTGGTCCATTGGTTGCGTACTTTAGGTTAAGATGAAAACTCAGCTTTCATTGTTATCCAGGCTTTGTTCATTCCGTTTACCAACATCACTCTCATATTACAAGCACAACATGTTTAAGACCTCCATTATTTTATAGGCCCAGTTTAAGAGTTAGATTTTAGTTTTAAACTCTTTTATCCTTCATGAGCTTCTATATCCCAATTTTAGTGAAGAAATGGGATATTTTGGGTTTTTTAATGAGAAAGGAAATCAGAGCTTGTACTTAAATGTATTAATTTCTGGAGCTAGCAGTTATATTTTTAATAAGTGCCATGGTTTTGTATCTCTGGTATTTATGACTTGAAATAGCCTAGTGCAGTGGTTCTCAACCTTCCTAATGCCGTGACCCTTTAATACAATTCCTCATATTGTGGTGACCCCCAACTATAAACTTATTTTCGTTGCTGCTTCATAACTGTCATTTTGCTACTGTTATGAATCCGGAGATCTCTGTGAAAGGGTCCTTCGACCCCCGAAGGGTCCATGACCCACAGGTTGAGAACCGCTGACCTAGTGGATCTTAGGGAAGATCTTGAGACACCAATGGAAATCTGAACCCCTTGACCTGCTAACAGCAAATCTATGAACATGCAACCATTCCTATGAAATAGAGAAGAGAAGCCCTGTTAAGAACCAGGGCCCAGCCCCACTATGAGACGTGATGCCCCTCACTGGCCCATGGCC